AATCATGATTTTATTAATTCCAGGCTGATCGAATCCGATGCAAAGTCACTGAATTCTCTCCAGAGCAATCACAGCAGGAAGGGCTCCGATACATCTCAGGTGTCTGTGGCGTCGGGGGGCAGCGGAGGTAACGGAGACGCTGCACCCCGACGCCACAACCCAGCCGATGGCGAAGAGAATACGTGGACTCTCTGGGGTCACATAGTGGCTGACTGGGATTATCATTGGAAGAAACGAAAAGAATTTGTTAAGGAATTGGTTCGTCAAGGCATACCTCACCACTTCAGGTAACACATATACACATGTGTATTGAAAGATATTGTATCTTATCAAAGCTAATGATTTAGAGCATTATCTAGTTGATTAGTTTTATATACAATGTATATACCTGTCGCCATTGCTGTAAATGTAAAAACAATGTTTATTTTATATTAAAACTTAATATAGGCCATGTATCATTTTAGGGGCATTGTTTGGCAATTACTAAGCGGTGCCCATGATTCTCCAGTTAAGAAGCAATTCGCCGAGTATATTAAAGCAACATCAGCCTGCGAAAGGATAATTAGAAGAGACATCGCTAGGACATATCCCGAACATGATTTTTTCAAAGAAAAGGATGGTTTTGGTCAGGAGAGTTTGTTTAACGTTATGAAAGCGTATAGTCTGCATGATCGCGAAGTAGGATACTGCCAAGGTTCAGGATTCATAGTAGGATTACTTTTAATGCAGGTAAAGTGCTAATAACATTATTATTATCAGTTATGAAATCAAAAAAGTATAATAAAAACAAGAAATTATCCATAAATTTATTTTTATGAACTTGTATCTTTGTTGATTCTTTATTCTACATGAAAAAAGAAAGGGAAAACATATGCATAGTTCGAAATAATTTTGTATATTGTTGCAGCAAATGCCAGAAGAAGAAGCTTTTGCTGTACTCGTAGCGTTAATGCAAGAGTATCGCTTACGGGACATGTTCAAACCAAGTATGGCTGAATTAGGGGTATGCATGTATCAGCTAGAACACTTAGTTGCTGATGCACATCCCGAACTTCATGCTCATTTCACGGCCCAAGGTTTCCATACGTCGATGTATGCATCTTCTTGGTTTCTTACACTATTTACCACAGCGCTAAGCCTTCCCCTAGCGTGCCGCATTTTTGACGTCTTTCTATCAGAGGGGATGGAAATTATCTTTAAGGTTGCATTGGCGATGTTGCAGTTAGGCAAGGAAGATTTGCTCAGTTTGGATATGGAGGGCATGTTAAAGGTAAAATTTTATTTTAAAAGTTGCGCTATTCACTTATAAGTCGTTAGATTACATTCAAGAAATTATTGTCGGCGCCCAAATTTAATTTTTAGCATATTTTATATTCTTAAACGAGAATATGGATTTATATATGTGTTCGCTTTATTTAAGATGACACTAATAACTTTTCCTTTTCATGCAGTTTTTCCAAAAGCAATTGCCTGGAAAGGCCGAAAAAGATCCCGATGGCCTCATGACGCTCGCATATGGAATGAAAATCAATCCGAAAAGAATGAAGAAATTAGAAAAAGATTATACCATCTTAAAGATGAAGGAGCAAGAAGAGATGGTCGAGTTACGCAGGCTCAGAGCAGAAAACAGATTGCTTAGACAAAGAACTGAACTTCTAGAAGCTGAGTCCGCCGAGTTGGCCGATAGATTAGTTAGAGGTCAAGTGTCACGCGCCGAAGAGGAGGAGACCGCTTTCATAGCGCAGAGAGAATTGGCAGCGCTTCGCCATTCGCATCTCGAGACGAGTCATCAGCTCGAACAAGCTCATGAGGAATTGAGATCATTATCGATCCTTCTCGAGGAGAATGTGACGTCTAGACAGTCGTCACTCGACGAGATATTAGTGAAGCAAGAAGCATTATCGCAAAAGGAGGAAATGATACAATGCTTGCAAGAGGAATTGGTTAGAGTTAGATTACACGAGGCGGAAAACGATGCACTGATTCGGGAACTCAGAGGAAGGATACAAGAATTGGAACAAGATAAGAAGACTTTGCGCGAATCGACACCGGACAATTCCGTTGCTCATTTGCAAGAGGAACTTATTGCAGTTAAGCTTAGAGAGGCGGAAGCCAATTTATCTTTAAAGGTAAAGTCTTTCACGTCTCTGCATACAATATCTTACCATTTCTTATGAATATCACACTAATGCTAGATGGATTTACATAACTCTGTCTCACACAGGACCTACGGCAGAGGGTCATGGAGCTAAGTGCAGCTTGGCAGAGGCATCTACAAGAGCATCGGTCCGCTCAATCAGCGCCTGCCGCTGATTCTACGCCAAAGAAGCTGCTCTTCTGGGAGAATCGGGGTCACGAGGTGCAGAAGTTTGAGGAAGACTTAATGACAACCAGAATTCGAGAGATGGAAGCGTTGACTGAAGTTAAAGAATTACGACTTAAAGTTATGGAGCTTGAAACTCAGGTGCAGGTAGCGACTAATCAGCTCCGTAGACAAGACGAGGGTGGGAAAGTACTTAAAGACGAATTGGAAGCTGCGTTAGCACGGGAGAAGGATCTGGCTGCCAAGCTGAGAGAACAACAGCACAAGTATTCCGATCTGGAATCGAAAATGAAAGACGAAGCTATGATGGCCAGGATACGCGATGCCGAACACGCGCAGCAAGTGGCGGAACTTACGCAGAAAATATCTCTTCTCGAGTTGAAGGTTACTTTCACATATGTTATTAACAAACGTTAATGCTAAAAGACTTAAATATATAACGTCTAACATTTTTGTAGAATGAAGAGATGCATGCGGAAGGCGAACTTAGGAATAATTTAGATGACAGTGAGAAAGTAAGGGAGCTTCAAGATAAGGTCGCTGAATTAAAGGCCGAGGTATGTGGAATTAAAAAATTCACCTTGTCTATTGTACTAACAAAAGCAGTATCTTGGAATATTGCAGTAAGGGGTGAACTATGTTTTATAGTACAAAATAAATATATGTATATTCTTCTTGTAATATAATGTATATTAGGGGCAACTCAATAAGTTCATTCTATGCAGGCATATTAATTCTATAAATAAGATACAAAAATATTTTATCACTGAGCAACAACTTTTCATCATATAGCACACAACATACATCTGTGGTGATATTGTATTATATATGTCTTTTAGATATTTTCAGCGTGTGTAATA